GAGGCCACAGCTCAGTGTTTCAGACGAAATTTACCTTACACGGGTAAATGTTATCAATGTGTCATGTTACGTAACGTTGACTGTGGCGTAAATTCGTCACGGTTATTTTAAAATCCATCACGCGCCAATTTACTTTGTATACTGTTTTTCAAAATGGGAGTCCGCCCGAATTTTCTTTTTTCCCATATCAGAAAATTACGATGACACTCTTTCGTGGAAAAAACACGAGAAAGATTTTTAGGAAAGACACCTGATACTGCGCAATGAAACATCACGCAACTTTTATTGAACATAAACAGTTTCGAAGTAAAAGTCACGAGATTTTGGGATGTCCACTCCAGCAATCTGTGACGTTAGGAACGAGTTTCTTTGCAACTACTCGCAGCTACCCGGAGCTTGGTGCTGCAGATAGCAAAGTGTAAGCTAAGCGATATATCAACTATACAAATCGAAAACGAGAGAGTCCAGGGAGAACGTGTCTTGAATAGGCAGCGGATTCCCACAGCAAAACAGAGCCAGCTTGTTTATCGATGCTGATCAAATATGGCTGCTCGACAGGAAGAGACGAGAGATCGTGCCTTTGGCATTTCGCCTGATACACCGAACAAAGCAAGATGTTTTCGGGACTTTTTACAAGAGGTTATTGACAAAATCACAGGAGAGAATCTCAAAGCGATGAAACGCTTTCTGCGAGATGTAATCTCGTTGAAAATTGGCGTGAACTGCAATTCTGCAGACGAACTTGTAGACAAACTTTTAAGTTGTCATTGTTTGGGCGAGTACGATTTGGATTTGCTGGAAGATTTGCTGGGTGTAACTGGACGAAACGACATTTTAGATCTCTTGCGTGAGTATAAAAGGAAATGGCCTCCAGTTTTAGAGAGTACTTCGGAAAAAGCCATCGGCGAACTGGTTGCAGGTAAGCTTAATTATAATTAGCTGAATTTTTTTATAAAACGAAGCTTTACAAGCTTCTTAGAAAATTGCGAAATTTTTGGCACATTCCTTTTTGCCGATGAAGTAATTTTAGAATCCCCAAGAGGACTGTGGTAATTCTTGGTGATATTTAGTGGCCCTGTTGCCCCACGAACACCTGGCTGAGTTTTTTTCGACACGTAAGCTTACATTGTAGTCATTGTACTGTATCGAGTTTTGAGGTTCGGATTTTTGGATTGTTCTGATTTCTGAGTCAAGTGGCCCATCTGGCCGGCCGTTGTCTCCGCTGCTCGATCCGGTCGATTCGGAGTCGAGCACTTGCACTGACCATGAGGCCAACGCGCCTCCACACGACTTGACATTTAAACTGTCCTATAAATGCTCAAGTTAAGTAGTGGCTGCTATTAACTTATTGAAGATTTAAGAAAATTATTGCAATAGTCAGGATCAATCCACATGCACACATGTACATGCTGGGTCCTAAACTGAATTCATACAAAATTCTGTGACATGAACCTGATGAAAGCAATATTTGTTTCCCAGCTGTCTTTTAAAGAGTAGGATCCCTCTGACAATTAAGATTTGAAAAACAGGGAGCCTAATCTGCATCTTTTCATTTTTCTGTTTCATTTTCTGTAGCTCATGGAAGATCAATTGTTTCTTTCATTTTACATGAAAATGCACATGAGATCACACCCAACAAGGTTAATTCCTTTAAGAAATCTATCTGCAAACATTTGAAGTTAGTACGCGCTGAAGTGGCTTTTATTGCGGCGATGAGGATTCCAAGAAAGCAGCTGGTTTTTCACTTGACGTCAGAGGCACTTCCTCTGCTGCGGCATTGCACTGGATGGAGGAAGGAATGGCTGTTTTCTCTGAATGTCAGTGGGGTTCAAGTATCTGGAGAAGATGAGATTTCTGTTCAAGAACTGAAAATATCACAACTCAGACTACAAGAAGATCCAGGTACAATTTGCCATGTTTCTAAAATTTGATAAAATCACAGACCTAGCAGAGCTATTTTCATACAGGTACGGATTGGGTAATGAGAATTTACATTTTGATACAAACACTTTGACAACATTCCTGAAGGCAAAGAGGATATTACATGTACATGGCAGTGCAAAGATCCGAATTTTATTTTCAAGTGGTAACAGCAATATTTTATGAACAAACAAAGCATGTTTGTAAAATATTACTTTTAACACGAAAAATAAATTCATATCATAGACATAGACAAACGGACTGTTTACACCAACAACCAAGAAAAAGAAGGAAATGACATCATCAATATTCTCAGTAGCAAGGATATGGCAAAAACACCATTTGAGATCCCGGATGTAGTTTCATATTCATGAATTTTATGAGCTCTGTGTTTTCCAGGAAAACACAAAAATATGTCTATATAATAAATGTACTCATTGACTGACTTGTTTGTCTACTCAAGAAAATATTTGGCTCTTGGCAAGTTTGCTTGGACCAAGTTCAAGAAGACCCATAATGATATTCATATATTATGACTATGACTGCAATATTCTCCTGCCTGGCTATCCCACTCAGTCAATAAGCTCATTATCTACTTGCTGTTAATCTGCTCTTGATGGCTTTTGATAACATACTAACTGAGTTTTTTTTGTTTTTTTGTTTTAAAAACTCATCTGTTGGTAGGTCATTATTTCAGTCTATAGATATTGTAAGCAGAGGTTGGATGCTATTCAGTCAATAAAATCTAAGGTGTATTAAAAACAAATTTGTTTCTTTTACCACTAGTACTGGTGTCGCCTGTTTTGAGAGTTAGTGAAGCTGCCCGAACAGGTGACGTTCCAGAATTAAAAAGAGTCCTCGATGGTGAATCAGTAACCAAGAGAAACTTCCTGCTTAACACCCGCACTGATGGAGCGACACCCTTAATTATAGCTGCAAGGAATGGTAACACTGCTATAGTCCAGTGCCTTCTTGATGAGTATGATGTTGATCTGGAGCAAGAAGGAACTGTCAAAATTGATGGCGACCTGATTGAGTGTTGTACACCGTTGTGGATGGCTTCTCTGGGGGGCCATCTGGCAATTGTTAGGTTGTTATTGGAGCGAGGTGCAGAGGTGAATCACACAACACTCACTAACTCCACCCCACTGAGGGCAGCTTCATTTAATGGACATACAGAGGTAAGCATGATTCTCCACACAAGCTTGAAATACTAAATAAATTATAGAAGATTATGAGACTGTCGTTTGAAGAGTTGGCAATAAAATAATTTTTACCATCCACAATATAACTGTCCCTTTTGACCAACCCTGTGAACATAATGATCACCTAAGTTGGTAGAATGGCCACTTTCTTGGCTGGAAAAAAAGAGCAGTCAGTCATTTTCTTATTTTAAAAACCCCTTTTATACATGGATGACTGCTGTAAACACAGCCGGATAAGCCTCACCTTTTCACTTAAAATTTTCCTTAAAAATTGGGGATGTGGCTTATCTGCAAGAATGAAATTTGGAGTTCTCTGACTCAAATCCTCCTCTGTGGGTGCCCACTAATTGGATTTGCTCTCAGTAGTGCCAAATTCAACTCCTCATCTGCACTGTTTAATTAAATGATCAACTTGGTCAAACTCTTGAGCATCCTTTGGGATCTTAAACAGTGCTGGAAACAACATTCTCAAACTCATTTTAATTAATGATTTCATCGTGTTTAAGCAAAGGAAATCATGACCACTGTATTTTCACCTCACTTCTTGGTTTTTGGAAATGTGGTCAAACACAGTCTTTCAATTTTGATACATTAGTGTTGGTCAATGGAAATTGTCTGACCAAATTTGTGAAATTGTGTGACAAATTTTACATTATGAACAGACATGACCAAGTGCCAATTGAAGATGACTTAAAATAAGAAGCTTATGGTCAGTAGTCACAAGAATCTCTTTCGTAGACTGTGTTAGCTTTGAAACATGTTAAAAATCACAAATCTTATGGACCCCCTTTTTTGCTTAAATAGTCTCCTTGGAATTGCATGAAACATGCATGAAAATCATCACGCAATGCATTGCTAAACAGACTTATTACTTCATGTATGCCTGTAGATTGAGTAATCAGATTATCTGACCAACTTGGTATACATGTATGTCTGGCCATGATAGAGACTTGAAAGGACACAAGTCATGTCTTGCTAGTAATTAAAATTCTTTCCAGCTCTGCTTAAGACAAGCGAAATATTCAATTTCAAATCAATTATTTGTTTGTTTATGTGCAGTGTCTGCAATTAACACGCAGTGCTAAATCTGCCAAATGTATGTAGTTTTGATATGTCAAATTATTCCCAAAAGAAAATATGCTTGGAAGGTCAGTTTCTCCTTATCATAACTCAAATATTGTGTCTATTAGCCACTGGGAAATTTGTAGGCAATGACTTTGGTGTTGAAAACGGTGAAGGCAACACTATCCATCTTCAGCTTTCAGCCTTTGAATATTTCCACAAACTGTACATGATGCCTTGTTTGCCTTACTTTCAAAATGGTGGTCATGATCTTGGATATTTCATGGCAAGTTTTTTGAAACAGTATGAAGACATGATTGATGACCGCAGTTATATACACGTACACAGCTTATAGGCAACTGTGAAATGTTCTATCATACATGCAGCTGATGATATGATCATCAATATATTCACTTTTATAAAAGTGCTTCTTAATAGACTAGTGGGAAATGTCTGAACATGACTGAAACGGGTGACTACAATAACCTAGCAGTAGTCGCCCTTCCCACGCATTGCGTACCTAGGGCGTAGAAGTTAAAAAGCCGAGGGTTAAAGGCAGAACTGTTTGCTAAAAAGCTAAAAAGTTATTTCCAGTCAACAACATAACAGAGTTGCTTGTATATACATTTTTGTAATAAGAATTATACTCACCTTTTGTGTCATTAAAGTGCCTATGAAGTGAACTGGTTTTTGGCGTTTTTCTGTCGCTTGTTATGTCTACTTTTCGAAATTGCCTAAAGCGAATAATGTTAAGAGAGAAAAATCTGACTTATTGCTGCCCAAAGTTCGAATTTGACAACCAAAAGTGAGTCTATTGTGCGCGCAGCCAAGATGAATGTATTACAAGGTCGTGACATGGAATTGTTCTGACGACTTCATCGCTACTTTCCGACTCTTGTACGTTGGAAGACATTTAGTAATATCCATCACTGACATTTTCCTTGCAAATAATGACGAACTTCGAAGAATTCTTCTATGGCAATGCACGTGGCTATAGAGGCGAAGTGGGGTAAACAAATCGCTGGAACTATTGCCTACTTCATTGCTTGTAAACTCGTTGCCAGTCTCCGGATCCACTGTTTTGCTATACTGAGCTTACTTTGGGCGGCAAAAAGTCGGATTTTTCTCTCTTTAACATTATGCGCTTTTGGCAGTTCCGAAAAGTAGACATAACAAGGGACAGAAAAACGCAAAAAAACTTTTCACTTCATAGGCACTTTAAGTTTTTGTCGGTTTTACAAAGGTTTTTAATAAATCGTTTTGGATTTGTTTTGAAGGTTATACGATGTCTTATTAATCACGGCGCGGATGTTAACAAGCGAAATCAAGATGGCAATACTTGTATAATGGTGGCCTGTTGGAATGGACACCTTGGCACATTTGGATTACTTCGCACATCAGGGGCGAACATGGATGTACAAGACAATCAGGGATTTTCAATGATTCACTGCGCTACAGCTGCCAATAATCTTACACTCTTGCACGAGCTTCTGCCAGTCCCGAATACCCCTGCAGTGAATGCCAAGACATCTGAGGGTATCACTCCGTTGATGTTAGCTTGCGAAAAAAACCATCCTGATGTCGTCCTGTTGTTATTACAGAAAGGTGCTGCAGTGGATGAAAAGTCTGACAAAGGTCTGACTGCGGCACATTTCTGTTCTCTGTCCGGTGACATAACAAGTCTTCATCACCTAATAGAATACAAAGCCGATCTCAACAAGGCCACTGAGCGAGGCAGCACTGCACTAATGTTGGCGTGTGCCAAGGGGCATGTTTCCATAGTTACTGCTCTGCTCAGAAACTCTAGTAAATCGAAGTTGAAGAGTGAAATAAGCTCAGCGCTGAAGTTTCGAGGCTTGACAGGACAGACGAGTTGTCTTGGGATTCTGTCAACACCTAAAGCAATGGATATAAATGTTGGCAATGAAAATGGCGAGACCTGTTTAATGATGGCTTGCGAGAAAGGCAGCGTGGATATTGTGCGAATTCTGCTTGATGAAGGAGCTGATCCAAATAGCGCAGACCAGAATGGTGTAACACCGCTGATGATCTGTTGCAGGCGCGGACAAGAGCGAATCGTGTCGCTGTTGCTGAGGAAAGGAGTTCAAGTGGATCTAAAGAATAACGAAGGTGACACAGCCTTACACATCTGTGTGCGGCATTACCGTGAATTTAGTGGACACAAGAAATGTTTAGAACAGCTTCTTAGCACTGGGGTGTATACAGAAATCAAGGTTTGTTTGGCAATGGCTACATAAATGACTCTAGAAATTCTCTTCTCAAACTCAGTTCTAATAATTATAATAATTATGATAATGCAAAAATAATAATTAAGATAAGTTATAATAATTATAATAGTTTTTCATCAAGGAAGTCTTAACCATGACAATGTTACGTTTAGATCTCTGGTCTTATTTGGCGTAGATTTGATTATGTTTTTATTTCATCTCTGTCTCCTTAGTTTTAATTTCGATTGAGAAGATATATCATACATTCAAGACAGTGTTTGACCACATTTCCAAACACCTGGAATTGGAAATCTTCAAAAATACACTCTTTCTTCTGGATGTTTGGAACTGTGGTATTTAACGGTGTCCCTGTGATATATTACTTGAAGCTCTGAATTCATTTCAGAGATCATTGCAAATCTTTATTTTGCAAACACATCCGTCGTAATTAGAATTTATCACATTTTCGCAATAACCGAGAGAATTTGCCTACGTTAATTGGCCAAAAACAATGCCCGATGATAGTTTACTCCATAAAAGTAACGTGACCGAATCTTTTGATAACTCGTCGGCTTCACGGGGAAAAGAGTGACCTTACTACCTCACGATGGGATTTTACACTGATGTAATTCAACTGTGGTCGTGGCAACCTCTGGTTGACTATTCGCTCACAGAAAACTCGTGCTCGTAGTCTAGTTGTTGAATAGACCATAGAAATAAAACCATGATGTGTTCAACTCTTTGCAGTGCAACACTTGCCTGCCCGTGATTCTATTTGAGTTTGGGACCTTGTATGATGTCATTCCTAAGGTCTCTAACAACCTGTAAGAGTAGCCTGCGAGCAAGCTCACCTTTAGGTCACACGCGCGAGTGGCGACGATCGAAGCGAGCGGCGAAGAGCGACGCGATCCAGCGCTACGCCGCTCGCGCTTGTGCTCCAATGTGAGCCTGCCGGCAGCCTATTATAAGAGTATAGACCATGGAAACCGTGACCGGTTTGTTGAGTACTGTTTTATTTATGTGCACCGCCTGTTGAATAGCCCTTCTGGTCACTTAACCATTTTCTGTTTCTTCATCTGTAGAATTCCTCGGGGGACACGCCCGTCACTGTTGCTCTTAAGAGTAAGACCTGGTGCGGACAAGCGTTCGAACTGCTGCACGGTAGGGGCCTGGAACTCACCGCCTCTCTTCAAGACACAAACGGTGACACAGTGTTCCATAAATGCGCGCGATCTGGCGATCTCTTGTCCTTGACTTACCTGCTGGCCCTAGACAGCAGAGGCCCGCTTCAAAGGAACCAAGATGGCGATACGGCACTCAGAGCAGCGGCGCTAGAAGGAACCGAATCTATGACACGCACACTGATCAACACGGTCAGCGGATTCCCAGTGAAGGACAAGATCGAAGCTCTTGAGATGTTAGGTGTTGGTTTATTGGCTAAGGAACTGTCACGTGACTGGGATATTACTGCCGTAGTGGGTTTCTGGCACGAGGCACTTGCCCTTCGTCGTACCCACAATCTGGCGGTTCCGAACATTGTACCACGTGAGTTTCCGTTGGAGTATTTCTTGGAAGCGAGGCTGCCAGGTGACCTGACCGAGTTCGAGGCCAATCCTAGTGCCGTAACTGCGCAAGCGCTGCAAATCTGCGACCGCGTGTTGGGCGACAAACATTCACGTCTGCCCTCCCTCCTGGGGACAATTGGCGAAAGATTTGCGCAAATAGGAGAATTTTGTCGCAGTTTAAATATCTGGCTTTATGTTTTGGAGATTCAACTCAAGTCGCTTTCCTCTTCACAGGACGGAGTGGACGATGTCCTGAACACGTTCCGTTGTTTCGATGACGCTTTCGGTTTTGTTTTGAGCCGAAGTGGAAGCGTTTTACATTTCAAGACAGTCTACCAAGTCATCAAAAGCGCATTACATGGTCTCAAAGCGTGTCCTGCCTTGTACGAGTCACGTGATAAAATGATGGTGTACGTTCTTCACTACTTGTCTGCTTTGTTGGAAGTGGCGTCAGACGAGCGTGACGTAGAAGTTGTCATGGAGACCGCCAAGGCCGTTGCCTGGGCGGGCCTGCGCAGTACAACAGGATCCACTCTACTTCACCTTGCCTCAAACTCCAGAACAGAGGAAATAAGCTCTCTTAAAGAGCACCTCCATTTTCCGAGCCTTCGCGTCTGCGAGCTTCTAATGGACAGCGGTGTCGATCAGAGCGCTGTTGACGGCGACGGGAACACTGCACTTCATATACTGCTCACTAAAGGTCACGCGGAGAGAGATGTACTATCGTGTCTTCTAAATGCTGGGGCGCATATGGATGCGCGCAATTCCTCGGGTAAGACAATTCTTGACTTGGCGAGGTGCGAGAAGGTCCGGCGTGTTATCCAGGCTGCTGATCACGTGCCTGGTCTCCAGTGCCTCGCGGCTCGAAAGATTATGGCAGAAAAGTTGCACTTCGAGGGAATTGTGCCGAAAAGGCTGGAATCATTTATTCAGATGCATTAGACAAGTTTACAGTTAATAATTTAAAAATGGTTCTTTGTCATAGGAAAAAAAACCAACGAAACAAAACCAAACAGTGTTAGAAGCCAGTTACAACGAGGCACAATGGCCTGCAACAGGCGGAAAGCGCGGGAAAAGTCACGTGATGCAATCAGCTTTCACCTATTGGTTCTAATTAATACCGCACCTTCGCTCTGATTGGTTATTGAACTTGTCACCTGAGACCCCTAGGTCTCAGATATTATCATCCAAGTCACTGTGTGGTGCTTTCGATGAACGTTAGAAAGGCGCTTTGTTGCTTAAGGCGACTGAATCCTTGTTGATACTACATTCGCAGGTAGATTATGTGCCTTTATTAACCAAGCCCTTTTGGAATTGTCTAGTGACTGTATTTCAACCAAATATCAAGAGACCCTTTGATTATGATCGAAATTGAATTTTATATTAGGTCTAGCCAAAGAAGAAAACAAAAACGGTGAAATTTATTTTGATTTCGTGCTAAACGCGGTATTTTTGTAATTTGTAAATTTTGGTTACTCGTAAGAAAATTAGGTCAAATTTTTAGAGAGATGTATGTGCGCTTATCATCCGCTCAACAACTGCTTCAACGATCAGTTCCGTAAATGAAATAGAGAAATTTCGGTCAGTTTGAAATGAAAGAACTTGTAAGGAGACTTAAGCGGGAAAATATAGAACACTGAAAATTTAGTTCTTTTGAAGAGCTCCACAACTCTCCGAAGCTTGTACTAAAACGTCTATGATAAAGTTAGTTAATTTGTGAAGCGAAATTTCCGCAAATTTTTGGGTGAACAGAAACCAACCATATAAATAAAATCGAGGTTATAAGGTTTTCCTCGATCCCAGGGTATTTTTTTAATTCTCTGTTCCTTCCTTGCGCAGCGTAAAGGTAGCCTGCGCTCAACTTGGTAGTATTCTAAAAGTTTTGTTTCACTGAGCTGTATATATCAGGGGCACCTATTTTTGACAATATTTCAGGGCCGGGTTGTTCGAAAGCTGGTAACGCTAACCCAGGACTGAAGTTAACAGAAGTGCCTTTTTTTGTTGTATAAAAATGATTTTCACTGCGTATGTTTGTTTAGTTTGAGATCACTAAAACCCAAAACCGAAGGACGCCTTCGGATCAGATTATTTACTGAGAAGATCCGTTGGTTGCCCCTGAAACACGACATTCACAAATGTATCTATAAATCTAAAATATCTGTAAAGGTGACGCTACAGTTGTACAGTTGCATGCTTGTCGATCTGACATTACAATTCGGTGTCGGCTTTAGATACCTACTCTCAGCCGATTAGAATGGAGAAAGCGAACAAGATGTATGGTAAATCAGAATTAAAATTTGTGCGTGACATGCACTGAAACAACGTTAATAAAACTTCGAAATGTATGATAAATGTTATGACATAGTTATGACACGAATTACTTGTTTTTTGCTACGAATTGTCTCCTTAGTCCGAACTCAGTTATGTTCTGCTATTAAATTCGGTATTTCGTACATTTTAAAGCATATAGGAGATGAGATTGATTTACAAGTAGACTATGAGCTCGAATTTTTCACGAGCGAATACTTGGACTACGTTTGCACTATAGATATTGTTTAGGATTTATGACGAATCTGGGATGTTTTAAGTACCGCATAGCCGTTTACACAGTGAGCGAACCCGAGATAAGTCAAAGAAAACGTCCCGGTTCCGATTCCGGAGATTTTGAATGGAAAATCTAAAGTTAATTCTTTGTCGTTGTCTTTCGTAGGGTGAAGATTTATTTCTTCATATGAATCGAAATATTTTTCCTATTACTTGGTAACCGTTTTCAAATGAATTGTCAAAGTGTGCAAACGATTATAAGAATCTGAATACCGTTTTGCTGCACACGAGTCCAAGTACACCAAATACGTTAAATCCGTTAAAAAATCCTCCGGTTTACGTTTATGTCTTGAAATGACTTGCAAAATTTTTGGACCGGCTTTTTCTGGGAATTCCGGACAGAAATCGTTGGGATATTTATAGCACAGTTTGCCCATATTAAGAGTAAAAGTCAGGTACAACAGACAACCTCCGTGATGTATTTCAACATAGTCTAAATCAAGTAAGGGCTAGCTTCCATTTAATCGCTGAGATAGATCTCAATGCAAGGACCCCAGCGATGGCATGAGCCAATTCAACTAGCGGCATTTTCACAACGCAATGATATTGGTAGTTAACAAATACTAGCGAAGCGTTCTTGAATAATTGAAGCGAAATCCGGCTTTTCTTGTCTTGAAGTAGTTCTCGAAAGTTCTTTCAGATGGCTGACCAAGATGATAAAGTAGGGGTCATTTTTGTTTGGGTTTATGTTTTGTCTAGCGGCAGGGCATTTTAAGGTGCGGGCGCTTACTTCTGTCTTCCTGTTACAACGAACCTGAGTTTAGAGGAGGGAACCAGATTTAGGAAACTCTTTGCCGGCCGCTCGTTTCAATTCTGAAAGTTTTGGTTTGCATGTTTAGATGGAAGGTTTATTATTTTCAATAGGAAACTCAAGCGCAATACAATGTACGCACTTGTGTATAAATTTGTTTATATCAGTTATATCAAGAGAAAATGAGGCATTTTCTCTTGATTATATCAAAAAAAGTTACCCGGTGTATGGTTCTCGAACATCCAGAAGCCATTTTGGGCACGATGGCTATTTTTGATTTCCAAACTTCTTGTTTCGTGAATGCAAGTATTCATAACATTGTTCACTTTATGAAATGTAAAAAGAATAGATTTTCGGACACGGAGTCTCCCAGCTGGATTTCTGAGAAACACGCCGCCAGTGATCGGTTGCCATCCTTCAGTGTGCCATGTATAAGCCATTTGGATGCTTTGGCCTGGAACGACTACACAGCACAGATTGCGATAACTGAATGTTGAAAGCGCCTGCATTCGCAAGACTCGCTCACGATCCATCGAGAAAGTAAATTGGTGTTAAAACATAGCTGCACAGATCGAGTCGACGTGCACAGAATTTGGTAACATTCTGGTGTGAATGCCTATGAATTAAAAAGGTATACGACAAATCTCACTCCATTTTTTATGTTTCTAACTTCTAAGTCTATTGATAAAACCCTAAAACCCATTCAAAGGAAAGCTATATTTAGCAGTATTTTCATATGGTACTGTTTATTATGCTGTGCAAGGCGGTTCTAACTTAAAGTCTGTGGATGAAAACCTATCGTGTGTGACCATTCAAATAAAAGCTATTGAGCAGTACTTTCATGTTGTACTGTTTATTATGCCGTACAAGATGGTTCTAACTTTCAAGTCTGTGGATGAAACCCTAGTGTGACCATTCAAATGAAAGCTATTGAGCAGTACTTTCATGTTGTACTGTTTATTATGCTGAACAAATAGTCCAAATGTGTGACCTGTTTGATCATAAAGAAGGACTTTCATGCGGAAATGTTTTTCTTTTGTTTTCCACAATAAACTCTAAGATTTCTTTTCAAATTCTGAACTTTAGCGCTTTGACAACGTGGTTTAAAAAGAAAAATCTTTGACTATTACACTACTGTATTTTTCGAAACCTCTATATAGATTTTCCTTGTCAAAACTAGAGTTAAGTATACAAACATTTCTGAAATTTTAGGATGTCACTCCTGTCAGCAACAAACAGATGTCTAGCGAATTATTTTTTTTAATCGGCTGAGTAAACCGTGAGCAACAGTAGGCTAACTTTCAAAAGCTTTGTTCTTCAGTTCTTCGAACTTTATCTAGCAGTGTTATATAGTGCGCGTGTGGATACAAAAATATGTGTGATTTCTTTTCATGTCATTGTCACCGATGGATGGCACATAGAGCCATGAATTTGTTATATATTCTTTCATTTTTCGATATTGGTAACATAGGAGAGAGAACAAAATGGATTTGCGGAAGTTCTTGATCGGCCAAAAATTATCAGCTGGTTAATATTAAGATGCTTTCGTGAGAGCCTGTATCCGTATTTAATTGCTGTAATTTGAAAAGTAAAATAAAACCATGCTTTTGGGTTTCGCTCCAGCTCATTGCGTCATTGTGACGTGTGTATGACGTCACGCGAACAGTGTAGGCCTTTTTAAAGCGACACTTGAAGTAGTTTTCGATTCTGGAGAAAGAAAGCTCCATCTCTAAGTTACGTGTTAAGGAAAAACAAATTAAACTGTTGAACACGTTTGACGTCATGGTGTCGTGCATAAGTGGGCGAAAACACTTGTCTTCCAAATGAGTTAATTTAACTTAAAATCTAATTAGTATACACGGTATTCGTTTTCTTTACTCTTAGACTTAAATTTGTGCAGGAAGTTTTGTCTTGTTAGGAAAAAAACGAAAGCGACAAAATAACAGCACTTAGAAGACATTAGCATCGCTAAAGAACCGAATTCGCCGAAATCTTTGGCGGCGAAAAAGCTAGGTGTGCAATATTGATCATTTCGGATGAAAAGACATAGTTGTGTTCCATTAACATGATAGCAAGATAAATATTTCTGCTGGATGACTTTGCTAGCCTAGGAAGGGTTGTGAGGGGTATTTTATAAGTTGCTTCATAGGCTGGTTTATTCGATTTTTTATTTTACACATGCACATCGATATATTCTAGATCTTGGAGTGTTTTCTGTCGCGTTTTGAATAGTGGATGAACACAAAATTCAGAAAAAAACAAACGGTCAATTAACGCGTAGGATGCACAGAAAACATGCCTCGTCAATCGCCATGGCCCTACGCAGGGTAGGAGGGTAAAAAAATATCCCAATTTCACATTATGGCTCTATTTAATTTGCCTTTTATTCCAGTCCAGTGGGAAATTACGGCGATCGGCTTTGTTTTAAAGTCTAAGAACTTCCTTAATTTTACTTTAAAACGCATTAGCTCCCGGGATGGAACTAATGCGAGATGAAGTATGTATGTTAGATGAAAACCTTCGCCCTGCTCACTGCAAGCTCTACTTAACGACTTTAATTTGCTCGGAAAACTGACGTACGCCGCTAAGCAAAGATGTCGTGCAGTGCTTAATGCTATATAAATCTGACTTCTTGAAACGGTTTAGGTCAAACCTAACTGACAGAACATCTCTTGTGAGTGAAGACTTGAACCAAGGACTTAGTGAATAATGGGAAGAGCTCACACTCATGGCGCTATTCAAGTTATGGTGATTGCCATGCTTGTAAGCATTTTCTTTGTAGGAGAAATCCGCTCGAGTTTTCCAGGCAGCGTCCCTTCTTACTGTACACTGAATCCGAATTATTGCATCTCCAATGGAGGACAAACACTGAAACGGCAACTGAAAAAGGTATAGTTCGGTTTATACTCATACAATTTCTCTATCGCCACTAGCTTTGTCAGTGGAAATTACAGATCGTTCATACTCTCATTTCTATAATTTATATTTATACGACTCGTTTGCATCGAAGTCTTAATAGAATACAGTTTAAAAGAAAGGAATTTTTCCTATTCATAAGCGTAAGGACAGCACAAAAATTTCGTAATATTATCGAAGACACGAGTAATTTTTCTGCTCAATAGAAAACCTCTTTCATAACGTCAATTTAAATGTTATTCTTTCACAATTTGCAGGCGGAGATTATGTGTTCAAGGCAAAAGATGAGCTTATGTCGAGCGATAGAAGAATACTGTGGCTCTCAAGATAAGCTTGATGACTAGCGCAAACAAACAAACAGAAAAGAAACAAGGAAAACTTGAAGCTGAATCAGCAAACTGCTAAAACTAATGAATTTGTAATAGCTAGAGAATTAAGTAGCAAACAATAATAATTATTGTAATTTAAATCCATTTTAACG